CAGGGAGAGAGCAGCTAACCACTATCCCAACACCTCATGCATACCCGTCTTCCCACTGGCAGCCTCAGGACATTCTGGAAAGCCACAGAAATGAACAGGACTGAGCATCAACCTCCATCCACACTGGTCTTGACTTTTCTGGACATCCCGGAAAATTAGACAAAAGAAACAGGAGACAGCATCTAAACCCAGTCTACCACCCCATCTATTCCGGTCTTCCTCAGAATATCCTGGAAAATGAGGGAACGAGACTACAGGAGAGGGTTCAATCTCCATCCATACCCATCTTCCCACTATCAGCCTCTGGCCAATTAAGGGAAATACAGTCCAATGAGTCCAGTGTCAATCCCAACACCTCTTTCATACCGTCTTCCCACTGTCAGCCACTGGACAATCTGGAAAACAACAGAAATGATCACAGGACAGAACGTCAACCTCCAAATCCAAACTCCAATCCATTTTCCCCACTTTCAATTCTTTTGGATATCCCAGAAAATTAGAGAAAAAGATTACAGGAGAGGGTAACCAACCTCTATCCCAACTGCCAGCCATACCCATCTTCCCAGTGGCAGCCTCTGGCCAGCCTGGAAAATGAAGGAACAGAAAACAGGAGAGGGTTCAGTCTTCATACATACACGTCTCCCCAGTGTCAGCCGCCGGACTTACTGGAAAATGGAAAAGGGAAAAGAGCCAGGAGAGAGCATCCCACCTCCATCCCAGGACACGCTGCTGTAGGCTGCACAGCTGGGACAGCTGGTTTGTGTGTCTGAGGGCAGCAGTCTGGCTCTGCAGTCTCTCTGTGCCTCGTCATCCGTCTTCAGCCCAGCGTTCACCTGTCACTCCAGATTGTGTTAATTCAACAATAATACTTCACCAGGCTCCAATATCAATACTAGTAACTTTATAACTGTACTCCTCTCATTAGTAGGGTTGTGTGTTCATGCCCTGAGTGTGACACAGGAGTGACAGGACTAACCTGACCTTGTGCTCGTGCTGGAGGCTGGTGATGGACTCGGGTTCGAGAGTGTAGTGTCAACAGCACACTGACCAGGTTCTTGTGGGCGAGAGACAGCAGGAGGTCAAGACACAGCCCTGAGGGTCACCCCCTGGAGCCCCGATAGGAGGAGTCCACTGGCTCTCCGCCTGGAGCTTGTCTCTAAGGAGCAGTCTGAATCAGGGTCACCTGCAGCTCTTCGTCATCATGGTCATCCTCACAGGCTCCAGCAGGCAGGAGATCAGGACACCCTGGATGTCTCCTCAAGATGACTCCTGCTCTGTCCCCTCGGAGTCTGTGGATCCAGATTGGTCCAATCAGCACCGATCATGCAAGACCAGCGTCGCCTGCGAGGGACAACCAGTGAAGGAGAGACTCACCTCCATCCCAACTCCCAGCCATATCCGACTTCCCACTGGCCACCTCTGGCCAGCCTGGAAAATGAATTAATAACAGTCCAATGTCAATACCAACATCCTGGAAAACTAGGAAAAGACACAGGAGGAAGCACCCAACTCCCGATTTATCTTCCCATCCATACCTGGCTCTTCACTGGCAGCCTCTGGACATCTTGGAAAATTAAGGAAAATACAGGGGAGGGTATAATTTTCCACACACACACACCGGTCTTCCTACGGTCACCCTCTGGACATCATGGAAAATACAGGACAAGAGAGTATCCCACTTCAATTCCAATTACCCAGTCTTCCCAGCACCGGTCTTCCTAGTGTTCGTCTCTGGACATCCTGGAGAATTAAGGAAAATAATCCAGCAGAGAGAGTCCAGCCTATATCCGATCTCCACCCATACGTGTTGTGAACTGAC